CCTCCTCCAGCCAAGACCCACCTGCCTACAGTTGCCACCAGTCAGTCCATTCAAACTAGGATGGAATGATAAGGTTACAGCTCCCAGAATCCAATCATCTCACCTCTGAATATTCCTGCATTAACACAGAAGCTTTTGCAGGACATCTTGCATCCAACTAGTCCGCTCCTCTGGTCTCACTTTCCTATACTTTAAAACGAGAGTGTTGGAACAAGTGTTCTGTAAAGATCCTTTATGATCCTGTGATTGTGCATGTGGCCTCTTGGCAAACGAGCTTAGGACATTCACAATGCCAACTGCTAGATGCAAGAATCAGATGGATTTTAGAACTAGTTTCACCCCGTCATCATTGTCTTCTTCTCCTTCTCCTTCTTCTTCTTTTCGTGGTACCAGGGATTGAACCCAGGAATGCTTAACCTCTGAGCCCATCCCCAGCCCTTCTTGTTTTTAATTTTGCGACAGGGTCTTGCTTAGTTGCTGCGACTGGCCTTGAACTTACAATCCTCCCTGCCTCAGCTCCAAACCATTGAAATTACAGGTGGGCACCACCACTCCCGCCCGGCTCACCACTTCTTAATTAAAACCTAAACTTAATTAAAACAGTCATTGAGATTGACCATACCAGATTGCTTGGAGAAAAAAAGCAGTGAGGCTGAGGGATTAATTTCATCCTTATTTTATTTACATCTTACAGAGAACAGCTGTGATATTAGATACCTTAAAGTCACATGCAAGGTGTGAATGATCTGTTTAAAGGGGCAAGACTATGATTTTCTTTCTGGACTCGACTTTTTTACTTTGTAATATTTCAACTAAAAAAAATCATCAGCAACAGGGCGTGGTGGCATACAACCATAATTCCAGTGACTCGGGAGGCTGAAGCAGGAGGATTGCAAGTTCAAGGGCCTGTCTCAAAGTAAAAAAAAAAAAAAAAAAAAAATATTTAAAAGGGGTGGAGGACATACTTCTAGGGAGAGTTAGAAGGAAGCTCCATAGGTCAAAGCAATAAGTTCTTCAACTGTTTTGTTTTATTTTTACTATTTGGGGCAGTTTTATTGCAAATTCATTGCAAAATTAAGGAATCAGTTTGTGGTGGTGTGACAATGTTACCCACCTGATCTAACAGACCAGTACGAGGAAACTACTGACATGTGTCTCTGCCCACTTCTGCAGCCCAATATAAGACCATAAGAGCAGGGATTCTCTGGGTCCCTACAGGGATGAACTATAAAAGTAGCAATGATCATTTGTCATGAATTGGAGATTTTTTTCAGATCATTTCCCTGAAAAAATCAGGGAAGCTAAGTAATACTATTATCCATCTTTTACAGATGAAATGAGGTCTGAGGGATTAAAAACTTGCTCAAATTCACATAAATCTAAATATTATGTTTTTAGTTGCCTTGCTCATGCTGGTAATATTAGCAGATTTTCACTGCATTTATGCTTACCCAGTACTAGTTACTAGATTTCCACTTTTTATATTTTCCTATAGTGAAAACAGTCCACATCAATGATTTTTCAATATTCCGAAGGAACTAGAAAATTGAGAGAGTTTCTACAGAGGAGCAACTAATTTAATTCTACAACAATATTGTTTTGGATTGTTATTTTTCTTTCAAATATTACATATAAATTAATAAGAGGAAAAAATAACAATACACTTGTTTTAACATGGAATTGTACTCAGCAATGATTTTTTATTTGACAAATGAAAGTTGAATAAATGACAAACGAAAATTCATTATTATTATTTTTTGTTCAGAATCTGTAGTTACAGATTGGAAATTATACAAGGTCACAGCAGCTGGATGAAACTTGGAAAGCCCTGTCACCCGCTTCTTCAGATGGTTTGACATTAGATACTCAGCTAAATTGTGCTCTGTGTGGCTGGAAAATGACACCTGGCTCTTTAAGAACAGCCAGCCTCATTTGACTTTTCACCTTGACACACTGAAGGTAATGACTGGGAACTCTTCATTTTAAAACTTTCAACTCAGAACCTTTTCTCTGTCCCAACACCTGTGCTTTAGCGATAGACTGAGACCAGAGCCACCTGCATGACTTCAATAGAACACTTTATCAGTTGAAAGAAAACACTTTGAAATAGGGTCTGGCCTAACTTTGAGGTTGGAAGAGATGGTTTTATTTACCTTCCAGTAGAAAGCTATCTACTTTAGATTTGAGAAGAATTAGAGAATTATCTGTTTTGATTTTGACATCAGAAGTGCAGACACTTGGAAAGTGCTTCAAAGCAACTTTGATTATAAGTGAGAATATAAACTATTAAAACAGTGTCTTGACTTAAAAATATTAGGTTGTACATTCTATTTTAGCAACAAGCCCAAAGCCCTTTTTCCCCCCAATCAAGCACTGTTTCCAGGAAAGAATAATTGAAAATTTAATAATTTTAATTCTGTAAAGATAGTCAATCAGATTATAAAATTACCCTGTTATTAAACATCAGTTAAATATGGTTGTTCTTATATCACTATGACCTAGCAAAATAAATAAAAAAATAAACAAGTCCCAATATAAGCTTCTCTCATTATGAGCATATGATTTTTTACCCACAATTAAGAGAACCAAAGATCTAGTCATGGTGGTGCACACCTATAGTCTCAGCCACTAGGAAGGCAGTGGCAGGACGATCAGTTGAGCCAAGAAGTTCAATATCAACTTGGGCAATATAGTGAGGCTCTGCCTCAAAAAAAAAAGAAAAGAAAAAAAAGAGCCAAGATAGCTCTGAGATAGCTCAGATATCAAAACTGGGGCTTCTATAACATTTTTCTGAAAGAAATATGTAGCCGGGCATGGTAGTGTGCACCTGTAATCCCAGCATCTCAGGAGGATCACAAGTTCAAGGGGAGCCTCAGGAACTTGGTCAGTAACTTAGTAACTTAGCAAGACCCTGTCTCAAAGTAAAATATAAAAAAGGGGCTGGGGATGTAGCACAGTGGTTAAGAGCCCCTGTGTTCAATCCCCAGTAAAAAACAAAAACAAAAACAAAACCAAAACAAAACAAAAATCCCCCCCAAAACAAAAAGCGATATGCTAATTCAATAATTAAATTCTTGGTTTAGTATTTCATGTATTATCAACTAAGACTACTAATACTATGAAATTATATTCATGTTTGAAAACAGCAATATATACATTTACATTTAAAAGAACACAAGCATTTTTAGACACATTGATCAATCATGAGACCCTTACTTTGCTACAAAACATAAATTCCAAAAGAGTATTTTTACAAAGCTATGGTGACATGATACAACTATCTAATTTAAAAGTAGGGGGAGAAGTTTCAAAGACTCATTATCTTGAGAACACAACAAACACATCACTAACAGCTGCCTGGGCATTTTGAGGGGGTGGGGAGACTTAGATATTTAAATCTGCACATCTTTTACATTTAAAAATCCTTCTATTAATAAGGTATAAACCAGGACCCAGAAATCATGGACTATAATAAATGAGAATAGACTTGGGCCCAGAGAAAAGTCTCAGAAGACACACAAACTGGGGCAGATGATCTACCTAAGAGTTTCCCTCTGTCTCTTTCCTGACAACAAGGATCTCTCTAGTAATCTGTCCAGCTTCCTCTTTTCTCAGTGTCTCAGCACGGGGCTGAAGGATGTTCAGACTGAGTTGGCAGAAAACATTCATGTTTAAGTGAATTTGGGAGCAAATTAAACTGGATCCTCTCCTGCCCATGGGGACTAGATATATCCTTTAAATTGTTTAGGAAAGAACAGCTCACTTACTGCTGGAGTCACTTCATTTGATGCTGTTCTCAGCCTTTCCCTCTACCTGAGACTCCAACCATATCAAGTGCCTGTTCTTAGTTGGAACAAAACAAAACAGGTCCTGGTGAGTAAGCCCTTGCATAAATCAGGCTGACTTTGTATTCTAGATCAAAGGTCAGCAAATCCTTTCTACAAAAAGCCAGATAGTAATGTTTCAGGCTTTATGGAGCCATACATTCTCTGCAGCAGCTACTCCACTCTGCTGTTATCCAGCAAAAGTAGTCATAGCCTGTAAACAAATGAGTGAGACTATGTTCCAATAAAACTTTATTTACAAAAACAGGCCACAGATTGGCTTTGGCCCTTGGGTTATAGTTTACCCACCCTGGTTCTACATAATAACCACAAATAGTGCCTCTCTTTTGAAACTGCAAAGTGCTTCCTATGGTTCTGGTCAGATTAATGCCCATTCACTCAGGTTTTAGTGCTGTAGAGTGAGCAACCAGAGTGCCCAAGGGTTCAGTGTTTATGGTCCCCTGCAGTAAATCAACATGATCAGAAGTTGACAGGAACATGATCGGGCCTGCTTCTGTTTCATTTAGAAACCTGAGCATGCAAGTGTTCCTGGCTTTAGCTAATCTTGGAGATGAGGACAATGGCCATTCTGTGGTAGCAGGTGCAAATTTAGAGAAAACTAATAAATTATGGATAACATGGCATTAAGAAGGCTTAAAGGGTCAATGTACTTTCCCAAGGTACCCAATATAAGTCAGTACTGGGGAATTCACTGCACAAGAAATAGGGACTATCAACTTAAAGGTAAATTTGCTCACATTTGGCTGACAAACCAGAAAACAGAACCAGACTTGTAAAAGTTGTGAGAAGAATAACAACCAAGAATCACAAAATTTCCTACAATTAGAGAACATCTTACCAATTACCCTAACCAGATGGTTTATATTATTAACAGGGGACCAAGGCCCAAGGAAGGAGAGCTAACTTGCCTAAATGAATTGTTTATGGAGAACTCACCATTTAAGTTCCAATCTGTTGCTATTTGATTAAGCAATCTGATTTTAAAGGTGCCCACTGATTATAAACACTCATGCTATAAGATTATGTTCTAAGTACCCTGGCTACCTCACTTGTCTTTAGAAAAGTTTTCTGTTGGATAAAAGTGACCCCAGAAAACACCTGAAATGTACTGGTGGTGGGGATGGAGGAGAGGGGAGGGGAATGGAAGGCAGCTCATCACTGTTTTAATGTAGCTGACAAAAAATGCACAGGATAAAGCATTAAATGGCCATCTTCCCAGGAGTATAAGTGCTGATCTCTCATGTTGTATGATAACATGGCAAGAACAGACTGGGAAGTTCTCAAATCAAAGTTTGCATTAATCTGTTTCTCTCCTAACAAATCGAAGGCGAATGTGATCCTTGTATCTTTGGTATCTGTGACGTAGAGGATTCCCTGAGCTATGAAGGCATTACCGGCCTTGGACTTGGGGTACGTGGTATTGATGTGCTGCACCACTGAGAAGGTTCTCTCGTCCAGCTGTGCTACAACAATGCTCGAGCCATCCACACTCGAGGCATAGATGATCCAGAGGCCCTTTTCATCTACAGCTAGGTTGAAGTAAGTCTTGGAATTTGCAAAAAGGTATTTCCGATCAAAATACAAGGCATTTTCGAGCTTCAGAATTTGGGATGTTTCTTTGCCAAATTCAAATCTGAAATGTGTACAAACAACAACAACAACAAAAAAATAGATCTAAGTTACCATTTCTGTGGGAAAAGGTGGTTTTGTGAAATGCCTTAAACTGAGCTAGTAGACCTGGGGTGGGACCTGGGATTCTGCATTGCTAACAAGCTCCAGGTAATGCCTGTTCTGCTGGTCCTTTTGCAACTCTGTGGGCAGCTAGGATGTAAAGGACAGTGACTAGCCTGTGCTAGCCAAAGAAGCAGGGAGGCAGCAGTATAGGGTCAGGGACAATCCTCCCTGGAGTCAGAATGAATTCACATTTAAGCAACTACTTACTAGCCATGTGACCCTGGGAAAACCACTTAACCTTGCTCATCTTCAGGTGTATGGATTCCAACTGTCTTCTCAAAGGTTCTCAAAGCTACAAGGGCCTGTAAAGATGACCTAGTTTGATCCTTTCATTATAAAAGAAAAAGGAAAAGATGAGTCCACAAATAGAAGTAGTAGAGCCACAGTGGGAACTTAGGATTTTTTTCTAACTCCAAGTTTGCTAGTTATTCCTTACTTCCTGCTGGAATTTTTTTTTTAATCCATATTATTTTAAATTAAAAGTCTCCAGCTGAGAAGAGATGTAGCAATGTCAGGGCTGTGATGCCAATCTTTTTTGTCAGGTAAGTGGCTGAAAAATTAAACTGTGGCATGGAATCCCATGCCCCTTAACTCCCAGGGGCTGATTTGACAGGCTTTGTTTTGACAAATCTAGATGACTCAAAAACATGTATAATGATTAAAAAATGACCTCAATTCAGAAATAACAACGCAGTGACGTTAGGCTAAAATAAAACACCAGAGGGTGCCATTGAGCAGCACAGGAATATTGGTGTGTGTGCATCTGTGGATATAATTCCTGGGGAGAGCAGGAGGACTCAGGCGCTGCCTGGGGCACAGTCTCCCTTAGTCTCCCCTTCCCCTTGGGAAAGCAGAGGGAGGAGGTAAGCTGAGCTGGGGTGGTTGTGAGAATCCATAGGTGTGACCAGTGGATCTGAAGGCAGAGATGCCTGACTTTGAAAGGCTGCGTCCCTAGTCTTCAGTGATCTCAATTGTGACATGAAATTCCTCACACCCCAAATTTTTCAAAACAAAACTGATGCCTCCAGGGAGTGACACCTGGAGGGAGCTACAAGTTCATCCAAGGATGAGGAAGTGCAGATGTTACTACTCATGGCCCCTCCACCTTGCCTCAGCCCCCCACCCCCACCCCTCCCCGTGTCCAGACCAGCAATTAGTATAAACCCCAGGCAGGGGCTTGGATAGAGAGCTCTGTCATTGTCCTATGATGCATTCAGTCAACAAACCCTGATTGATCTCCCTTGTGTGCCAGCCTGAGGGTCATAAAGATGAAAAAGACACAGTCCCCACTCCTAAGGTCATCAGAGTACCACACAGTAGGTGCTCTCTAGGGTGCAGTAAAAGGGCATGGAGGACAGAGCTGAGGTCCAGGTGGCTCACCTCACTATGGTGTTGGAGCCCCCTTTGTGGTAGTAGAGAGAGTTGTTGTAAACAGCATGCCCACAACCGTGGAAGTAGTGCGGGAGGTGGATGAAGGTGTAACTGCCATTCAGAAGGGAGGGCCAGTCTTTGAACTCCTTCACCATGATGCCTGCAGGGGGAAAGCCAGGGGAAGGCGATTACCTACCTCCAGCAACCACAGCTGGGGAGTGAGTCTGGGAGGATCTTAAAAGGAGGGAAGGTAAGAGCAACATGTGTCCTAAGGTCTCTTGTCCAGTTTGAAGAGTTGAGACTCCCAAAGTCCAGCTCTCCCTATCGGTTCCTGACAAATCATTCAGATATGGTCATCATAGAATTGGCTTGGCTCCTCCAGAGAGGCCCTGTCCTCCTTCCCCACCCCTCTCTCTAATGTTTATAAATCTTCTTTGGTATTACAAATAGGACTCAGGGCATTTTACCCTAAATTACATCCTCAGTCCTTTTTATTTCTTATTTTTAGACAGGGTCTTGCTAGGTTGCTGAGGGTCTCACTAAGTTGCTGAGGCTGGCCTTGAACTCGAGATCCTCCTATCTCAGCTTCCTGAGTTGCTGGGGTTACAGGCATGCGCCACCATGCCTGGCCTAGTGTTTATAAAATATTCTATTGAGCAGCAAAAGTCTATACCAGAAATAGCAAATACTTGGCATTTGTGGATGGACTTCTCACAGCCTCCTGCCTTTTCCTGCATGCCACAACAGTTACTGCTAATGTCTTTTAAGCCTCAAATCTTTCTCAACTGGTAATTTGGACAGTTACTACTGGCTGACCAGTTAGCCCTGAGGAAATAAAGAAGCTGTTTCTTTTCAGCTCCTTCTCTAATGAGTGCATATGGCGGGACACATTCTGGAATGAGGCCATTGTTATAGGCAATGTGTGACCACATTCCATTAGATCAGCATGACTAGGGTCAAAATTAGATGAAGTGTGACTGCAGGATGGTCCTGTACCTTCTCCCTTGGTCCACCAGATATCTGAGAAAAATGGCCAAGAAGTATTCTCCTGAATGGTACAAACCTAGAGAAAGATGGAGGTGCACAAAGAATTTGCCTCTGACATTTCTTCCACATTATGGATTTGGGGATTATAAGGCCTACAGTCATCATGTTGTTGTATCCTTTCAGATACTTTGCCTACAATTGGACAGGCTACATTGCCCGGTTGTGTCCCTGTGACTAGGACTGCAAGGCTCTCCAACCAGCATGTTCAAGGGAGGTATGTATTCTGACCCCTGACTGTACTTTCTGAAATAAGGAGCAATTAGTATACCAATAATAGCAGGGATTTCAGAAACAGAAGTAGAATAAGCCTGAAGGTAAGTGACAGATGAAAATACAATTACAGCAGGTTTGGATCCTCTGTTGATGAAAGTACCTGAAAAATGTTCAGTCACCCAGATACGGTCATCACTCTTATTAGCAGACTCTCTTATCCAAGTCCCAAATGTCTCTGTAACCTTTAATATTTGTGTTGGGTTTCCAATGGCAGTGATCATGGAATCTGCCAGAAGAAGAAAAAGGAAAGTTACCTGCCAATTATGACTTTAATTTTTAAATTTCAAGACATATTTTTTTTTTCCTCATGGCTAGGGATTGAACCCAGAGCCTTGCACATGCTAGACAAGTGCCCTACCACTGAGCTACGCCCCTTGCCCAGGAAGCTTTGTCGGTGTACCTGCTTGAGGGGAATGGTGTTCATTGACTTTCTCATCAGCTTTTCCCACCAAGGTATCATCGTTTGGTATGGCACACGTCTCACCTAAAACAACAACAACAGCAATAATAATAATCAAAGCAAATGCAGTTGGCACAGTTTTAGAACTGCTGCTTTTCCCTACCTCATTCCAGATGCTAGTTCCATAAACATCCCTTAGACTATGTCCACCAAGTTTCTTGTTTGCTTGTTTTTTAAAATATATATTTTTAGTTGTAGTTGGACACAATGACTTTATTTTATTTATTTATCTTTGTGCGCCACCATACCTGGCCTAGTGTTTATAAAATATTCTATTGAGCAGCATAGGTCTATACCAGAAATAGCAAATACTTATCTTTGTGTGGTGCTGAGGATCAAACCCAGTGCCTTGCAAGTGCTAGGTGAGCGCTCTACTGCTGAGCCACAACTCCAGCCCCTTGTTTGCTTATTCTTAAAAAAACCCCAGCTGTTATACTTTTAATTTCCTCCCCTGCTTGATGAGTTCCCAGCAAGCTTTCGATGACCACAGTTACTAAGATAATACAATTCTAATAGGATGTCTAATAGGAACAAGGCTGCTGCAGTTCAGCATTGTGATAACTGCTAGGCAGTTATGATCAGCCTCCATTTATTGAGGGGAGGAGCAGTGACTTCTTTGAAAGCCAGATTTGTGCCCTCTAACAGCTGAGTGCCTCTCCCTGACATGTCTCCTGGAAAGAGCAGTTTACCAAATAGAACATGGGCCCTTCAGGGAAATCTGAGAGAAATTCCAGTCAGGATCCTCCTCAAAGTCAGCCACTGCAGTGACGGTATTCAGTTGTGCCTTCTCGCAGTTTAAGTTAGGTGATTCTCCCTGGGTCACCTCTTTACAGAAAAAATTCTAAGGCCACCCTAAAAATACTTCCCACTAATGTGGTCCTTGATTTTTAGTTAGCCTTCTATCCCACAGCCACCGCTGCCACAAATTAGCTGAAGAATGAGTTCTCGGGGCCTGCCAGAGGTCAGGCCTGGGTCAGGTCCCAAAGCGTGTCTTTCCATCTGTGAAAGGGCAACAGTCTGAGAGGGGGAAGCTCTACAGCTAGACAAGACTGGATTTGAATCATAGCTCTGCCATTTACTCATTGTGTGACCTTGGGCAAGTTACTTAGCTCCTCAGGTGGCAGTTTGTATCTGTTAGTGGGAGACAATAACGATGCCAATATCACAGGATGGTTGGAGAATTAGGAGAACTAAGCGCTTGGCACCAGGCCTGCACATCACTAGTGCTCAAAAATTACTGGTGGAGCATTGTTAACCAAATACTAAAAAATAGTAATAAGAAGACAAACTATTGCGACAACAACAACAAAAAATTAGTAGTGGAGGGGTCGGGGGTAGCTCAGTGGTAGAGTGCCTGCGTGAGGCCCAGGGTAAGATCTTCCACACTGAAATACTGAAACACACACACACACACACACACACACATCAGTGTGGTGGGGATGGTAGTTCTATTGTTAATGTGTGTGCAGGGTTAACCAATCTGATTGCCCCTTGATCTCCCGAGCATCAGCCAAGCCCTTCTTCTCCCATGAGTTTGTGGCTACATAAAGCTAAGTCCTCAAGACCACTTGGGGGAGAGGGATGATGGATATGGCAAGGAGGAGGAACAGTCTGGTGGTAAGTGAAGGTAAAAGATGAGGGAAATAGGTGGAGGCTCAATTCTAGGCCTTTCTCTGTCCTCTTTCCCAGGGCAGATGGCTTAGATCTTCCATGAGCATGTCTCAAAGGGAGAGCTCCCATTCAGGGCAACTCTACCCCCTCAGTTTTAAACAATCTGGTCACCTAGATTGGGATGCAGATCAAGAATTTAGGGTCATTAGTGGAAGGGGTTGGTGACCTGCACATTGGCCATTGAACATGTTTGGCTGCCGAAGGCCTTTGGATCTTCTGCTTCCAGGAGGCCCAGGAGGTCCTGGAGGGCCTGGGGGTCCAGGGGGCCCAGGTGGGCCTTGGTCACCTTTGGCACCTGCAAAGACAGAGAAGAAGTGAGGGAGATAGAGAAGGAAGAGGGAGAACAATTGATAAAGAGTTACCAACAGAGATTGGGTTTCACATGAGGGAAAGGACAAGGGAGCAGTTCCGGGGGGCCCACTGAGCTCACCCCTTCCCAGAGATGATCAACTTAGCACTTATCTCTGCTGAGTTGAGGAGCCACCATAGAAGGTATTGAGGACCCACTATGTGCCAGGAATTGTGCTAAGAGTCTTACAGATCTCCACCTCAGTCTCCCAAACCACTCCTCTCAGAAGCTGGAGTCTCAGGGATGCTGAGTGATCTGCTGAGGTCACCGCCTGCAGACAGCAGGAACTCAGCTTCAGCTGTCACGGCATAGCTCCTCCTTTGAACAGGCTCATGTCAGTGGGTCTCAGCCCTGACTCTTGGTGGGACACGGAAAATGATGTAGGAAATTCTGAAGCCTGGGCCCCATCCTGACTAATCAGAATGTTGGGAGCAGGTTGGCCTCTGTATTTTTAAAAGCTTCCTCATATGCAGCCAGGTATGAGAGGCGCTGCTGTGTGAGGGAGATGAACCAGGAGCTCCTTCAGCTCTGCTTCTATTCAGCTTTGTGACTTTTTAAACCCTTCTGAGAGCCATTTCTTCGTCTCCACATTAAGTCTCAAAGTCCCTGCCCTGCCCTGTAAGAATCAATGAGGTCACTGCTATGATGATTTGACAGCTGTAATCTTGCCCACGGATAGGCAGTCACACCTTGGTCTATAGACGGTCAACGAGGGTGGTTGCCCTTTGCAGGGGTCATTGGTTCTGGAGAATTCATAAAGATGCCCCTCTCTGGGCTGTTCAGCCCTTTTGTTCTAACCTCCAGGGTTGAGACTGGAGAGATCAAGTCTATTTAGCTGCCTCTTCCCAGCCAGACCACGTCAGCCTTTTCAATCTTTCTGGAGTGAACAAGTGGGGGACACTGGGGCTGCAGATGGGTCTATGACCACTGTGGAAGGGGCAGAGATCTCTAGGTAGAATGGACCTGATCCAATCCTCCTGCCCCTTCTCCACTCCACTGAGGGTGCACTGAGTTCTGTCCTATCCCTTTTGCATTGGGTAGAAGGATGGTGCTTTTCTGAATAAAAGGTTTGTCACCCCTCACTTATTCAGCAGTGTAGAGAATTCTGGATTTTCTGTGTGACTGAAATGTAACATGATCTTATGGTTTCAAATACATGTATTTACATATACGACCCTTTCAGACCCTCCTTAAAGTTTACATGTTGTGCCTAGCAACATCCCTTGTTTATAAAACAAAGTATGTTAAACATAACTTGATCTTCCCCTGGTGCTTTGGCCTTTCGCCTGGCGAAGAGTAGGCATTCGATCCATTGTGCCTGGGTGGCTGTCTGTCTGGCTGTGCAACTGACTTGGGGTCATTATTGTGAATATTTATTACCATCCTAGCTTCTTGAGGACAGATACTGTGCCTTGCTTACTTTCATATTCATAGTTTTAGCAACTGGCAGAGTTCTTGATTCATGGATGGTATTCTCAGATACTCAATAAATGTGTATTGAGTGCATTAGTAGAAAGTTATGTTTTCATGATATAGATGGTTTCCAAAGTACTGTGATTTCAAAATTCTTCTGCATCTCCTCCTCCATGACAATCAGCTCCTTCTATCATGTGATTATCTGTGGGGTGCTGCCCCTAAGCTTCCTTCTACACAACTGCTGACTATCACTTTCAATCTGGACTAGAAAATCAGCCACTGACTTTTGCCCAAATTCTCTGTCAAGTGGTTTATATGGCTATAGCTTGACTGTGAAGAAAATGCTTATGACCTCTGTCAATTGTCCCTGGAAGTCTCTAGAGTGGCTTACTTACTTGTTGCTGGATTTCAATAGATATTTGGAAAAGGGAAACTTCCTTCAACCCATTCAATCTAACTATGGCTTTTAGACCTAAGTTATTTAAATGACTCATACTTAGATCTCAGATCTGGTCTTGCCCACATGGAGAAACAGGTACCGCTTTCTCCTCTTTGAAAGTACAGAATTCCAGAATCTGCTGCAAAACAGAGGACAATGGAAGGACAATAAAGAGAGAGGACACAGAATAACAGTTGAACTGAAAGCCAGCGAGGTCTCTGAGCATGTGTGCCCTTGAAGGGAGCCAGAGAGCACTCCTCCTACCTGCCAGCAGTAAATCGTTGGACACATCTCCTTTGTCTCCTTTTTCACCCTTCTGTCCTGGTGGGCCCTCATTTCCTGGTGAGCCCAGTTCGCCAGGGTCTCCCTTTTCTCCCTTTTCCCCTGGATTTCCTGTAGCTCCAGGAAGCCCTGAGGGAAAGGAAATGACATATTAGCCTGTTGTGCAATAGATTCCGGGTACACCACTTTGCAAAAATTGTACTTTATCCTTTTGGGGTAAAGCAGCTCTGAATCAAATCATAGAGCTGAATAGAATCCTTCATAGCCATTTTAAGGCAGAAAAATGGCTGTATATACACTAAAGAATTGTGTGGGTGTGTGTGACCATGGGCACACTGCAGATTGAACCCAGAGGTGCTTTACCACTGAGCCACATCCCTGACCCCTTTCAGTTTTTATTTTGAGACAGGATCTCCCTAGGTTGCTGAGGGCCTGACTAAGTTGCTAAGGCTGGCTTTGAACTTTCAATCCTCCTGCCTCAGGCTCCCAGATCGCTGGGATTATAGGCATGCACCACCACTCCCAGCTTGCTAGAAATTTGGCTGGGCCAACAGGTTAGAGAGAGGAGGGAAGCACAAGAGGGACAATTACTATAGGAGAAAGAAGGTGAGGAAGGTCAAACTAGAAGTCTGGCACCATCCCCACAGCAGATGAAGAGGATCCACAGAGGCATGTGCCCTGGACAAATGCAAAATGCTTCTACTCACAATAGCAAAACAGGTGAAGTTGTATAGGATGACTAATGGGGTGAATAAAAGATAGTGGGTGAAATTTCTGCTTTTACTTATGGAGAGCCATGACTATAGGAATTACCATCCTCTCACACACAACTAGAAGTCTTTCAAGATCTGAGTGACAATATGTCTTCGCATAGACCATGGACAGGACAGGGCACCCTAGATCATTCCAGCTTACTGCTGGGAAGTAATTCCCAGTAGCACAGGGAGGGAAAAACCAAAACAGAGCCTAGCAAAATCCCTGAGTTGAGTAAAGCATCAGTTTGGGGAGATGGACATGGCTAGAATTTGCTAGATAGGACAGCAGAGAGGAGAGAGCTGTGTTGTAGAAAATTACAGAGAAAACAACATGGAAAGAGCTTTTCATAAGGAAGTATGGAGGCCATGAAGGGAGTAGGACTTATGCTTGACTCTAGCTGTCACCTGGTCACATCCACCCTCTGATCTGAAAGCATCTGGAATAAGAAGGGACAATTATATTATGCTCAGAAGCTCAATATACATATCAAGAGGTAGGGGACTCTTGTTTTCTGGACATTTCCATGCTATTTATACATTCTTTCCTTTATCTTCTATCAGCCCAAAGCCATTGTTCCTTTTCAGCACCCACTAATCTAGACAAGCTCCCACCTTTCTTGCCTTTCTCAGAAAACTGATTCAGAGCTATATCTGAACCCGTCTCCCAAGTTGCAATTCCTAAGACCCCAAATAAAGTCCTTTTACTCTTACAGTTCTGAGTTTGGATTGATTGGCAGCAGAAAGATCACTGGGGATCTGCGGAGGACTTCCATGAGTCTCTGGCTATTTGATGACCTGTGCAGGGTAAAATTCTACAGACCCAGGAAGAGAATTCACAGTTCAGTATGCAATTCTTAGAGCCCACACAGTGAAAAGTTCTCATCCCATCAAAGTGGAGAGACCCATAAAGTTATGGGATAGGAACTGAAGTTTTCTGAAGAAGCCACATCTGTATGAAAGATCCTGCAGCCTCTTCCACCTGTGCCGAGAAGAACACTGTGAAAATTGTGAAGAGATGGAATGTCACATGTCCAGAGCCAACTTATCTTAGCCTATCTTAGGCCCTTTAGAAAAATAGCCATTTACTCAGCTTTTGTATCTGACCTAACATTCTCCTATCAGGTAAATTTCTTGGAATGTATTGTTAAGGTCAGCAGATCTCTAGCCTCCCCCAACCCTAAAGTGAAGAATGCTGTAATAACATCTGAAACCTGCAGAAATATTTTTCCACTTCACTATAGCCCAACCACTTCATGCCCCACACATGGCTCTAAAACTTTATATAACCTCTTTCATGTCAGAGTGCATCACTCAGGGTAACTTGAATCATGTTCCCAGACCCTGGTCACTGGTATTTGTCTCAGAATAAACTCTTTTTAAAAAAATTTCCTTGTTATTTTATGTTGGCAGGTATATTAGATCTTGGAAAAATCATGTATTAGTAATGGAGCTAAATTAGCCCCAGGGTAAAAACTGCTTGGGGACCATTATTACAGAGCTTAAAACCAAGGTTTAAAGGATCAGAGATATTTGCAAGTAATTTCACTAACTGCCTGAATAGACTCCAAAATTTAATCTCCTTAGTCAATGTAATTTGGATATTAACACATTAAGCAAGAAAAAATTATACAATCATTTCAATGGATGCAGAAAAGGCATTTGATAAAATTCAACAATCATTCCTAATAAAAATTCTTATCAAACTAGAAATAGAAGGGAATTTACTCAGTCTGAAAGAGGGCACTTGTGAAGCCTATAGCTAGTGTCGCCTTTCCCAGTGAAAGAAATGTGTTTCCCCTAAAGTCATGAACAGGACTCGGTACCTACTCTCATCATTTTGATTTAACATTCAACAGGAAGTCCTAGTGAGTACAATAATGAAAGGAAAAAGAGATCAAAGTCATGTTAATTGGAAAGGATGACATAAAACTGTCTTTATCTGCAGCTGACATGGCTGTTCATGTAGAAAATTTCAAGGCATCTATAAAAAAGCTAGTAGAACTCATGAGTACACAGGTATCCAGGCCCTGAGAGGAAAAGTAGTTGCATGATATTGTACAAAGACATTGCTAGATATGGATCAACTAATGAGATACCTTATCTCAGGAATATTTGTCCATTTTGATAAGAGTCACCTAAGTGGTTTAACAATGACACTACTCAAAGTGACAGAGATGTCAGGCAACAAAGAAGAGCCAGAGGCATTCGTTAATGCAAGCAAAACTTCAATTCCTTTCCTCATCTGTAATCAAGACAACTTAGGATCTTTGCCTTCTCTGACTGCTCTGACAGTTCCTGTGCCTTCTTTAGGCTCTAAGTGACTGCCCATTTGTTCATATATTATACCCCATTAATCTGAGCAATACCCATTTTCTAACTGTTATCCTCTGGCATTGCAAATATCCTCCCTCCAGTTTTAAAACCATACCTGGCCCAGCACTATTGGGGTACAATCTAATTGTCCCAAGAGAATGCAGAATTTCATGCAGGAAGGCACCTTAGAGGTCATTCAGACCAACCTCCCAGCCGATCCTAAAAGGCTGTCTCCTAGCTGGCTCTTCTCCAGGTTGTTAAATGGTGGGCAGGTGTTCACATCACAACCCATCAGTTTGTACTCAAATGCTCTTTCTGCCATTGAAGTCAGTTGTTCCCTCAAATGTAAATCTGGATCTCTTATTACCTTTCATTGACTGCAGACGCATGATAAATATCCAAAATGGTTTCTGTCCTCCCATATTCAATGGACCACCCATAGACCATCCCAAGTAAGACAGCAGTACATGAAAGAACACCAAGGTATTGATCACTGTCAGTAAGTATAGCAAACAAACATTTGCTAGATTTCAATCAACCATTAAAAAAAAAAAAAACTTTAGTGAAAACCATAAAATTCAACTATGGCTGGGAGCTGGAAGACCCATGGTCACTGCTTCTGCCAGTGGTGAATCTGGGTGATATCATGCCCTGAAGGAGCTGCAGGGTGTCCCTTGGTTGTTAGTACTTCCTCTGGTGTGGACTTAATACTACAGTAAGAAGAAAAACAGTTGGGGCTGGGGCTGGGGCTGGGGCTGGGGCTGGGGCTGGGGCTCAGTGGTAGAGCACTTGCCTAGCATGTGTGAGGCGCTGGGTTCGATCCTCAGCACCACATAAATATAAATAAATAAAATAAAGGTATTGCAGCCAACTACAACTAAAAAAAATAAATATATTATTAAAAAAGTAATGCTTATTACTGAGAAAGGAGTCATCTCTTGCAACAGCTTCCCTGCCCACGGTCACTAGGTCCACTCACTTGACAAGAGCTCTTATGCAGGGCCCTCTACATGAGAAGATGTTTCCTTTGTCAGTATTTTAAATAGGCAATTTGGCACATTATCTGAAGGAGACAAAAGATTAGGACGTTGCCATAGAGTCCAGCCTGCACAATGCGCCAAGTGCAACCGATCCCTTCTAAAGGTCTCACATGACCCAGATTTAGCAGAGCTCAGGGAAATGGTATCTGCTGGTTATACCAAGGTTTTCTTTTTCAGTCATTTATTCTACACAAAGAGCCTTTCTGCATCATCATCCGATTTCCCCTTCCTTTCTTTTATTACTACCTCTTATGTCTCTTATTTTCTTTGTCAAAAAGGCCATATGTGAAGCCGGGAAATGTTCCAATTGTAATGAAGCCTGGTAAGGCAGCTCCCACAGGGGCAGGTATTTAAAGCTGATAAAGGTCTTTGCTTGAAGGTGTTTATGCCTCTTAGCTGGGGTGTGCCTTGCCATTTTTAAGCTCTTGTTAAGAAAGAGGTAGAACGTTTGCCTACCTACAGTCTGCCTTTGCCCTCTTGTCCACCAACGTGTCTGACAAAGCATCTCCTTTGTTAGCAAAATCACTGTGGCCAATGCATGTCGGAAATAGAACTCCCCTCAGTCACCATGCGCCATCAGAGGACTTCTGTGCAACACTTTCTACTCTGACTTCAGCAAAGGTCAGGACTGCAAGGCCTGCAAGGTGACACCATCATACTTTGTGATCTGGACCCTGGCATTTTTTTTGCCCTGGCACTCCTGGTTGGCTCTGAATCAGCACATTCAGCTAGAGAAGAAAGGCTGGATTTTCCCTGCCTAACTTGTGTCCTAGAAGTGGCTCTTTGCTATTTTTCTTCCGGTGTCGCCTACTCAAAACAAACATCTCCATCAGCATTGGAACTTGGGGTTGTAAGAGAGCCCCAGCTGGGGCAACTCCACGACAGGGGGTGAGGGAGGACATTTTATTTTCGGCAGTACCATCTGTCACTTAGGCGGCGGAAAGGAGACCAGAGGGTGTCATGTAAAACTAGTCCCAAACATGAAGAAGGAGGAGGGCATTTATTTCTGTTTCTTAGATGA